ACACGTCTTGGCAGAAGAGATCAGATTCTCTTAGGGATCCCCTGGCTACGGGCTATGAACCCGGTTATTGACTGGGCAGCTGAAACTCTTATCCTTTCTCGAACGGAAAAGAGTAATCAAGTTGAAGAAGAAGTCGACAAAGAAAGGAAGAAGAACGATCTTCCACTTCTATTTCGACAAGAACCCATAGATCGGACTTGGAAGCAATCCAAACTTAAGAAAGCACCAATCGCCGAAACCCCTGTCATTTATCCTAAGGCAACCATCGAAGAAATCGTTGACGAAGAAGCACCACATGTCCATCCCCCCACTGATTCACTACCTGATCTACTCCCCATCCCCGACGAAGACGATGAGACTTTTGATACCAAGGAAGACGTCTGGACGCAAGAGAACTTTGCCGCACCAGTGCGAGAAGTCTCTATGTATGACCTAGATGACGACGAATTTCTGGTGGAATACTCCATTGACGCATCCGAACTCCGGGTAATTTCAAATACTACCATGGATACGCCATTGACCCCGGACGGTACCAGTCGTTCTGAACAGAAACCCACGGTCAAACCTTTGCCACGGCCTACGGAATACGCGAAAGTTAGTAACAAAGCTCAGCAGTTCGCTCTAGCTGCGGGCTTAGAACAGAAGAAGAAAACTTTCGAAGAACTCGTACCCTCCTATCTCCACGACTTCGCTGATATCTTCGCTAAAGACGGTCTTAATCAACTCCCTCCTGAACGACCCGGTATTGACCATCGTATTGAGACGAAACCCGGATTCATCCCCAAAACGTCGAAAATCTATCCCCTCTCTATCGCCGAACGAACCGCTGTCAAAGCATTCATTGACGAAAACGTAAAGAAAGGTTTTATCTCGGAGTCCAAGTCGCCACAAGCCAGCGGTTTCTTCTTCGTAGGAAAGAAGAGTGGAGATCTCGACCCTGTCAAGATTATCGATATATCAACGATTGGACGATCAAGAACGCCTACCCCTTGCCGCTTCCTTTATCCCTTGTCGCACGGTTACATGGAGCAAAGTATTTCACCAAGATGGACGTCCGATCCGGTTATAATAATATCCGCATTCACCCTGATGATAGATGGAAAGCTGCGTTCACCACTGAATTCGGACTCTATGAGCCGAATGTCATGTTTTTTGGGCTTTGCAATTCCCCGGCCACGTTCCAAGCCTACATGAACCGTACTTTCCAACAGGAAATCAACGAAGGATGGTTAGTAATCTATATGGACGACTATCCTCATCTTTTCGGATAACCTGGATTGAACATCACGCTCGTACCCGTCGAATTCTCACGAAGATCCGCGAAGAACGACTCTTCTTGAAACCAGAGAAGTGTACCTTTGACGCGCAAGAAGTTGAATACCTCGGCATGATTATTCGCCCCGGATGTGTAGCTATGGACGTTGCTAAAACTGACGGAATCCGCGATTGGCCAACTCCATCCACTGTTAAGGAAACCAGATCGTTCCTAGGTTTCTGTAACTTCTATCGGAACTTCATCCCTCATTACTTCCGATATCGCACGACCCTCTTATCGACCTTACAAAGAAAGATAACGTCTTCCTTTGGTCCGCACCGTGTCAGGAGGCATTTAGAACGTTAAAGGAGTGTTTCCTAAAACAGCCTGTCCTTCGTAACCCTGATCCGTCTCGACAATTCGCAGTAGCCACTGATGCATCTCTTGTTGCAACGGGTGCTGTCTTACTACAGACAGATGAGAACGGCGTGTATCATCCATGCGGATACCTCTCCCAATCCCTGAACCCCGCTGAAAGAAATTATCAGATCTTCGATCGCGAACTCCTGGCCGTTATCCGTGCACTTCAAGAATGGCGTCATTATTTGGACGGAAACCCCCATCCAATCATTGTTTTCACCGATCATAAGAACCTCCTTTATTTCCGTACCGCGCAAAAGTTAACCCGTCGCCAAGCCAGATGGCAGCTCCTTCTTTCTTGTTACGATATTGAACTTCACCACGTTCCAGGAACCAAACTTGCTGCACCGGATGCCCTGTCACGACGACCTGATCATGCACCCGATACCATTGATAACGAAGACATGACGCTCCTCCCCGATTCCATGTTCATTCGCCTTCTTGACCAAGAGCTCATGACTACTCTTGCGAACCCTGATCCTGATGACACCGATCCCATCTTCCAAGCTGCCTCCTGATGCCTTAAATGGCCTTTGCCTTCCTCCCATGAAATCGGCTCTCTCAGACTGGACGATTAAAGATGACGTTCTATTTTACAAAGATCGTGCCTATGTCCGTCCAGCCGGACTGCCGCTCTATTTTAGAACGCACCCATGACCACGCTACAGCGGGACATCCCGGCCGTTTTAAAACCGAAGAACTGGTTAAACGCGACTTCTGGTGGCCGTCTATGGGGACCTACATCCGTAAATACGTTGAGGGTTGCGCCCTTTGTCAGCAAATGAAAGTCCGATACCCATCCCACGACACCTCCGTTGGTTCCTATCCCTTCTTCGGTCTCTACCCCGTTCTCCCAAGTCTCTGTCGACCTCATCACCGATCTTCCCCCATGTAACGGGTTCGACTCTATCATGGTCGTGGTAGACCATGGTCTTACGAAGGGGGTAATTCTCATCCCTTGTACGAAGACTATCACTTCAGAAGGCGTAGCAAAGAAATTCTTCAAATACGTCTACCGCCGCTTCGGGCTCCACGAGAAAGTAATCTCAGATCGAGGCCCACAGTTCGTATCCAAATTCTCTAAAGCTCTTGCAAAACTTTTGAAATACGACATCGCCGCTTCCACCGCTTATCATCCGCAAACAGACGGTCAAACCGAACGTCTGAATCAAGAACTAGAAACCTATCTTCGAATCTATTGCCGTAACAACCCAGAAGAATGGGTTGAACATATCCCCATGTCCGAATTCGTTCACAACCATCGCAAACACGACTCTCGCAACGCATCCCCATTCTTCCTCATGATGGGATACGAGCCACGGGCTCTCCCCCATGTACTCCCAGACTCCACTGTTCCCCGCCGCAGAAGAGCGACTTCGTCTCCTTCAGAAAATACGAGAAGAAGCTATCTCTTGCCACAATCTTGCAATGCAGCGAATGGCTGCACGATCTTACGGAAAGAAGTACCAACCGTGGAAAGTTGGCGATAAGGTTTGGTTATCTGGGAAAGAATCTTATCACGCAGTTACCATCACGAAAACTCGCTCCGAAACGCTACGGCCCCTTTACCATCACCGCAGTACTGTCACCAATCACATTCACACTCCAGTTACCAAAGCAATGGAAGGTTCACCCCACATTCCATGCTTCCGAATTATCGTCCTATCACGAAACCGAAATCCACGGTCCTAACTTCCCTGATCCTCCACCTGACGTCATTGATAACGAAGAAGAATACGAAGTCGAAGCAATCCTATCGCACAAGGGCACGGGTAAACGAAGACGCTATCTTGTATCCTGGAAAGGATATTCATCTGCCAGTAACGAATGGATTCCCACGGAAAATCTTGGCAACGCCTCCGCAATCCTCGCCGCTTATAAGAAAGCTCACCAGTTATAAGAACGGTCGCGAAAAGATGTCTTTCTCAGAACTCCGCACTCTCCAGATTTGCCTCTTGCAACTTCAAATTCTCGTCCGATACATTGATAATATGTCCGAAACCCTTGCCACATCCCCATCCACTACGTCCGTCACTTTGACTGAAACCATTGAATCGCCAAACTATTTCACCATCCTTGACGACATCGAAACCAACACGCTATTTGAATCCGCCCTCCTTTCTGAGCAATACGCTATCGAGATAGATCGCCTCCTTGCTGAACAAGGGGCCCTCTCTAGCACGCTCCTCATTAACATTATTCGCGCCGCCAACCTCATCAAGCGTACCGCAGGCCTTCTCAGTGAAAGCGAGAATGACCAACGCTTCAAAGCCATTTTCCGTCATCTTCATATTCGCATTCGCAACTCTGCGATACGTCTCATGCCTGCCTCTACCAAGGAAGTTGTTAGAGAAGCCATCCATATCGTTACTGAACGAATTGCAACAAACCCAATCGCCAGACCGCCATCCCCTCACGTCGCAGTTCCCATCCCTCCTCCGGTTGAGACATTATCTCCCGTTGAGCATACGCCTGATGCTGTCACTCCTTCTGATGTACCGGTCGTACCGTTTGCTCTTACTACTTGCCCCGGCGGCAACCACCTCTCGCTCACGCTCCATTCGTCTACGACCCTCCAAACGCGAGATCTCCGTCTCCCCTCCCTCACGCAACAACACCCTACGCTCCAAAACACCATCCCCGCCTCCGCAATCGTCCTCCGTCACCATCGTGAAAACCGAACCCATTGATAACTTCAAATGTCGCTACTGTAAAGAATTCGGTCATCGTCACAAGAATTGCCCAACATATTTCTGCCGCGTATGCCGTAACCTCGCGCCAGGGCATCTTTCGGTCTTTTGTAAAGACCTTAAAGGCGAGAAACCTATCCCATTAGTATGGACGGATGAAGGCTTCTATGAAGCTCTCGCTAAATGGGAGGCTGACAAGGACGCCGCCTTAGAACAGATCTCTATCGAAGAAGATGAGAGAATGTTCGTTCAATGCGCAGGTGATCGTGACAACTATGACGCTTACGATAACTTTGATTGTTGAAATCGGTGACTTCAACGATAACAACTGGGGTAATGTTACAGTCAAGTACGCCCCTATTCATTTTCTTTCTCTTACATCATTGTATTACATCACGATCGCATCTTGCCGTCGCTAGATGATCTATTCTTGTTATCTCTGACTCGTCTTATCTCTGACTCGTCTCTATGACCTCATCGTACCGGCCCTAAAGTCGTTACCGTTCATTATATAAACTCGTCCTGTACTATGTAGTTCTTTACTTTAATCTTACTAGGTTTTACCTGGAACTTCCTTCGCTTAAGACCTCCAATCTTAAGTCGTATTGAACGTGATTCAAGTCGAGGACACTCTCCTAGACTTGTCTTAGAAACCATTGAACTTCGGTATACGCCGAAGCCTTGAACCGACCTTGGCCGATTACTCTTATCGAGTAGCCATACGTCAGAACCATCCTAGTTCGTAACACAGACTCGCTGGAAGAGGACCTGTTGTCCCTGCCGGTGTGTGCAGTGGGACCCTGGGACCCAAAACATGAGCTTGTCATTATTGGGTCCCACATGGGGGTCTAGAATTGACATAAATATCATCATTAGTCGTAACTTAGAGTAGATAGCAAAATGACAAACCTCCACTGCACACTTTCTCTCTTTCACCCTGAGAGACTTGAGTTGTGAGCCCCAAATAGGCAGGGGAGGAGTCTTTGATGATGATCGCAATGAGCTTGATGGTGATGCTGCCGTCAGTTTTCTCCCATGAGGTTTTTTCTGACAAGAGCCAGCAACTGCAGGAACCTATCATGATGAATAGTAATACTTGATTGATGCTGTGTGTGGCAAACTCACTTCTCCAAAAAAACTCTTGGCAATGCTCTCTGCAGGCTCATTCTTGGATTCTTCGATATCAGATAGATTAGATGTGCTTTGCTTGCTAACATCTGAGTCTGGCTCTGATTCAACAGAGACCAGTGGCCTACACGCTGATTAGTAGTTTACAAGTTAGTAAGTGACACATGGTAACATGTGATGCTAACCCTTCTTGGACTGTAGCTGAAGTTGGATGACTTTGTCCTCTGAATCTGAAGGTAGCGGGTGTTCTGATTTATCTGTAAGTAAATTTGTGATGCATTTCATGGGTGTTGAGACTTACTGTGACTGTTGAGGTCTTTTTGTTTCGGGCAGATGGTGCCATTGCCTTCATTCCACGACCTGGACAACATGGAGGTAAGTACTAATCACTACCTGTGAGCTATATGGTACTACTCCTAACCTGATTTTATCCATTTGGGGGCAGGTCCAACATCACCCGTAATGGCAGGTTTGTGCTTGCGTGACTGCTTGCTTCCAACTTGGAGAGGTTTCCACACTGAGCGATGACACGCACGAAACCTGTTTCGTACATGATCACGGACACATAACATACTCTCATACAACCTAATACTGCCAATAAAGGCAGTTCTAATTTCTTATGGCTTTATTACAATTTACTATAATTTTCTTGAAGGTTTTTCATAGCTACATGAATTAATCATTCATATTACGTACTTAGCACAGTCAACAAACTGTGTTAAAAACCCTTATCCTTTCATTAGTAAGCACATTCTCGCACCTTTCGGGATTTTCTTGTACATTTTCCCACCTAATGAGCCATATTCATGTTAACATCTTAACATCTCAACATCTGCGCAGTCATCATCTGAGCAGTGTCAATCTTCTTACATAATCTACATTTTGTTTAATGATTAGTCATAGTTTCTGGACAGTTCCGAAATAGCAGTAACCTCTAAGTGAACATTTGGACACTGAGTCATAGTGAGTCACATGGAGTCATTATGAGTCACTATTCCATATTTAGTAGTTGCATAGCCACCTGTAGAGTAGTATATAAAGGGACATAGTTTCCCTCTTTGAATAATAAGATCCCTTTTTAGAGAGTTTGCATATCTCTCAGAAAATTTCTCACCCCTTAATATCTGTGTGAATACTGAGTGAATATTAGTTTATTCCCTCCACTCTTTTGTCACTGTTTCCCACGACGTTCTGACTACCTGAGGCCACCTCTAAGTCACATTAAATTACTCTAGCTAGTGCACGGTTACTAGTCGTCTAGTGTAGTTTCACTGCAATTCTCTTTACAACACAGGAAATCAATTCTGTGGGGAGAAATCCACGTACTTTAACGATTGAAGATGATAAATAGGACTTATACTTTAGTCAACAATATTAAGGGCTTGGTCACTTAAGACTACATCAAGAAGCTGTATTCTAGTCTGGACTGCGTCATTACTCATTGTGAGATCCTGAGCAGCAGAAAGGTCGGTTTCGAAGCCACGTATTTGATTGATTTAACTGTATCCGACTCCTAGTTTGATCTCCCCTGATTGTGAGAATAAGGAGTATCCCAGAGATATCGCTCTGACTCACCACGTATCACTGTAATTCACGTAACTTTCTGTAATCTGCGTACTGTCGCATCATTATCCCTGAAGAACCCTAAGTACTGCATCAAGCCAGTTAACGGGCATTGTTCCTGAGATTCCCGAATATCTCACCCCTTTTTTAGTCATTGGTAAATTTGCTCAAGGAGAACACAATCTATATTTGCACCCCCACGAACGACCACATTATCAACCGTTGGTATTTGTCTGAACCGTTGACTGTGGAGGATAAGTGAAATTTGGTGTTTTTATTGCCTTTCACATCCTAGTAAGACAGCGCCACAACAAAGTTGTCATCACTTCAGTAACAGGTGTGAATGTGATTGGAAGATGTATACTTACCCGGATTGTCTAGAGCCTGGTCCTTGGCCCTGCGTCGTGCTTGAACCAAGTGAGTTTTTTCAACCTTGCTGGTATGAAAAAATTCCTTATGGTGTGAATGCAGCTCCATTGAGCTCTGGCTGTCTAATTTGAAGGTAAAATAAACTTGAAGGAGTGAAAAAATATGAAATGAAGGTGCAGCTGTCTTTCTGCTCAGCAAGGCTGTGAAAGACTACTTTGGAGCGGTGAGTGAAGGTTTTATTTTAAGTTGCAGTAAGCTCAGACCCACAATTTAAATCAGCCTGAGCGCCCATTTATGTTTCATAAAGCAAAACAGGTGCCGGTACACTTTCCCTGTCAGGGTTAGTTTGCTATTTGGTGAGTTTACAGTTGCAAAATTTTCTCGCACAGCCTTACCCTCTAGTCTTAGTGTGTGCCCCTTCATTTGCTCACCAGTAGCAATCTTGCCCATCCAGAACTTCATTGGTGATGATCCCACTAGTCTAGACCTGCACCACCTACTGAATAGAAACTGACCCGAAGACTTCAGCGATGAAGACATCCAGCAGCAAAAATGGACAAAACTGATCTCAGACCATAAACGGTAAGTGATTCTCCAGTTTTTCACCATGATATCATTCACTGACTGCATGTAGACTCACTGAGATGATGTATAATCTAATGAAGATCCCCGTTGCGCCAAGTGGTCCAGCTTCCCTTCAGATAGTCCCAAGCCAGTGCAATATCAGCATTCGTCTCTACATCCCGCAACCTCCTGGAGGCCTTGATGTGTGCCTCGTTGTACCGGTAAGATCTCCCTCACTCCAGCATCCCTCCGGCTAATCCTAAGCAAGTACAGTATAATACATGCTTCACAATATATTTGAGCATAGGATTGGTATAACAGTCACACCATCGGCAACAGCCTTCCTCTCCCTTTGATATCTACTATGGATAACTCTGCTTGCATCGAACTGCTTTGGGGTGGTCATGTATCAAAGCGCTTGATCAGGAAGCCGGTGAGCATACTTTGTGTGCTGAACAAGTCCAGCACTAACCCATCATTCACCTCCAGACACACACATTCCACAAACTCCTGGAGGCCTTGATTCATTCCTTCAAGACTTTATATATTATGCTTACACCTTCTATAAGCTTCTATAAGCTTCTATACCGGCCTTCTCAAAGAGCTGACTCAGCGCACATGAATACCACCAGTACAACCGGCAATTATAAGTGTCTGAACTTGGTGCTTTGCACCACAGGCATGACAAGTTCCCACTTTGATGGAACCTCTGATGCATGCTACCTCTCCTTCTCTGACTCTTACACTTCTCCCTACCATCAACTTGCAAATTTGTAAGTGATTTTTAGATGTTCAGTATTCTATCAAACTCATCAAATCTACCTAGAATATGTCTGATACAACGTGCCCTGCCTGCAATAAAAAGCTTGCATTGATTACTGGTTACAACCTGCACCTTGCAAAAACAACCAATCCTGCTTGCCATGCTCTCTACCTTTCCTCACAGCAATTTCATGCAAGTTCGCCTGCTCCAGACACAAATCAGTCGCCACTGCCACACTTTGAAGGAGATTTCTTTGGGACATACACTGCTGATCAACTTGAGTGGCCAGTGGAGTTTGATGACGGGAGAGAGATGGGTGATGCACCTGTGGATGGAGAGGACTTGGATGGCAATGAAGAGGGCTTAGATGGTGATGTTGATGCTGGCGACGAATAGGAACCTCCGTTAGTGCCATCATCTGGCCCTCACTCTGTGCACCATGACCATGAGGAAGATGATGGACGTGATGAGCAAGATGATGCCCCAGACCTACCTACCTCAGATGTGCAAGAGTCAGATGCCCGGCACCGAATTGAAGAGCGACTTCGTGACCATGAACGGGCACCTATAGTTGTCCCCTACCCTGATCAATGAGCTGGATGGCCCATCAATCAAACCAAGCAGTCGAGTAATGCGAGTTATCATGCACAGCTTGAGGGATCGGGCGCAGATAATGTCTATGCTCTGTTTGCTTTGACACTTGATTGGGAGATGGCTCGATGGGCAAAATTGTGAGGTCCCAGCTCAACAGCATTCTTGAAACTCATCTCTATTGAAGATGTAAGTCAATGTGATCTCTCAAAAATTTGAATTAGTCTAATTGTGGTATCTCCAGCTTAGTGATAAAATTGGTCTCACCTTTAAGAATTCACGCGAATTGGACAAGATCATCAACAATGAACTTCCGTGTCATCCGAAATTCAAATGTGAGCAGATCGTTGTTGCAAATGAAGCATTCAATGTCTATTATCATGATATAATTGAGTGTATCAAAGCTCTGTTCAGTGACCCAAGGTTCGCCGACTTCCTCGTCTTTGCACCCGAACACCACTATGCCGACGAAGACGAGACAGTTCATCTATATCATGAGATGCATACAGGTAAATGGTGGTGGAACAGTCAGGTTCGTATTTTGTACTTTTTCTGAAGTCATCATACAGTATATTAACACCATATTTATAGAAAAGCCTCGACCAGGAGCGCCCTGGTGCAACGATAATTCCTGTCATTATTTCATCAGACAAGACTCAAGTCACACTGTTCCATAAAAAGACTGCAACCCTGTATATATGACAATTGGAAATATTCCCAAGGAGATCCTTTGGAAACCATCATGCCAGGCACACATCCTTCTTGCCTACCTCCCAACTACCCACCTTGAACAAGTCACCAACAAAGCCTCTTGCCATCGCATGCTCACCAACATCTACCATGCATGTGTAGGACGCGTGCTTTCTCCACTTACTGCTGCGGGGATCAATGGAATCAATATGTGAAGTGGTGATGGGGCTATGCGCAGATGCCATCCCCTGTTTGCGTGCTTTGCTGGAGACTATCCAGAGCAGGTGTTAGCTACTGGAGTCAAGACTAGTCAATGTCCGAGCTGCGATGTTCCCCCAGATGAGCTTGGTCTAGCAGCAGGTGCTGCAAACTGTCGACCACGAGACTTGAACGCCATGCTTAATGCCCTCCGAGCTTTTGATGAAGATGGATTGGCCTTTGTTCGCGCATGTGTGGAAGCTGGCATCAAGCCCATTGTTCATCCATTCTTGGAGGGACTACCATTTGCCAATGTATTTGAATCTATCACCCCTGATGTTCTGCATCAATTGTACCAAGGACTTGTGAAACATCTCCTTGCGTGGCTTGCGGACGCATGTGGCAGTGCAGAGATTGATGCATGATGTCAACACCTTCCCCCGAATCACCACATCCGACATTTTACAAAGGGTATCACGACTCTTTCCCATGTGAGTGGCACGGAACACAACCAAATTTGCCGTTTCTTGCTTGGGATTATCATCGACATCAGACTACCTGATAACATGTCTTCCGCTCGGCTCCTCCATGCCGTTCGTGGCTTATTAGATTTTTTATACCTCGCACAATACCCATGTCATAGTTCCGAGACATTGACTTGTCTAGACGAGGCACTCAATCTCTTCCATGACAACAAGGACATTTTTGTCAACCTTGGCATCCAGAATTCATTCAACCTACCCAAACTCCATTTCGCACTTCACTACACCCACATGATTCAGATGTATGGCACAACGGACAATTACAGCACAGAATACACTGAACGTCTTCATATCGACCTCACGAAAGATGCATATCGCTCCACAAACCACAAGAACAAGTTTGCGCAAATGATGACCTGGTTAGAATGGAGGGAAAAAATCTTTTGCCACGAGAAATATATTCAATGGAGACTCCTTTCAGGCAGCACACCTCACCCACCGCATTATCACCTCTGTCCCCCAGAAATGTCATTTTGTTGTACCCAGACGATGACAAAGCATCCTAGCGTCAAGGCAGTCACATTGGACAAGGTTGTGAATGAATATGGCGCTACATACTTTTGCGAATCTCTTGCACACTATGTTGCAAAAGCTGCACTTCCCGCAAACACTACTTTCACACCTCAGCAGCTTGAAGATTGAGCTGCTGATGTGTACCTGCCATTTCGAACAATACCGGTCTTTCACAAGGTAAAATGGGTCTCTGTTGATGTTCATGGCCATGGTGATCTTCCAGTCACAGTTGATAGTGTGCATGCACGTCCTGGATGTTCAAGACCATTTGCTTCAGACAGTGTTGCATCTCAATTCGATACTGCGTTCATCAATGATGGTACAGGTGGGTCGCTTGGCATCAAAGGTGAGCCCCAAGTTGTTATGGAACTGGTGGTATAGCAATACTCAGCATTTACATAGGATATCGAATCGGACAGGTCCGTGTTATGTTCTTGATCCCCCCCAAAAGCTGTCTCTATGCTCTTTCCATCAACATTCCAGCCTCCAAAACACTTAGCCTATGTGTGTTAAAACCATAGCTCAAGGGTAGACAGATCCGAAGGGCTTGGCCTCAGCTCGTGTGCTGTGCCCCTTACCCGAGTACGTGCCCTTAATTTCAGAATGAAGTCCAGATGGGATCTGACGAAGTCCGAAGGACTTCCGGAGGCTGGCTACTCTAGTAGAGTGCTAGAGGACTTCCGGATGAGTGCGAGAAACTTCCGGAGGAGTATAGGAAACTCCGGAGGAGTTTCATCCACTGTATCAGATCCGAAGGTAAGACTTCCCAAGGTAAGTTCCCTAGATAGAAACACATAGAGGATAGGCTGCAAGGGACAGAGTCCAAAGCAGGATAGGATAGGAGGAGTGGTCCGAAGGACAGGACGTCCGGAGGTCCAAAGGTTAAGACGTCCAAAGGGTGCGCCGTCCGAAGGTTTGCGTCGTCCGAAGGTTGCGTCGTCCGAAGGTTACGACATCCAAAGGTTACGACATCCAAAGGTCCGAAGGTTTACGAGGACCGGAGGAGCGGACAGGATTAGGACAGGAGGGGAAAGGCTACTATGGACAAGGTCCAGAGTAGAAACAAACAGAGGTAGACTACACTATGGTAGAGTCGGATAGACGGGGTTTAGACAGAAGTCTCGGAAAGACAGGAAGTGCCGGAAAGGCAAAACTTCGGTCTAGGGAATCAATCCCTAGACTTCAGAACAGAGACATAGGGGACAAATCTGAAGGTCTGATTTCCGGCCTAGGGAACCCATCCCTAGGCCTTAATGGAAAGGCAGAACTCAGATGGACCAAAGTCCGAGACAAGAAATGAGTGAAGTCTAATGTGCGAGAGAGCAAGTCTATGTTGAGACAGAGCAAAGTCTAAGGCGATATTCGAACTAAGGAACTTTACAGGAGTGGTACAGATCTTTATATACTGGAAGGGATCCGAGAGGATCGGTAAGCTGAACACAAATGCTATGTACAAGCATGTGGAAACATATTAGTAAGTATGAACAGAACATAAGCAAATGAACTCAGATATGAACAGAGTACAAGGATCAATAAGCAAGACGGAAACAGAGATAACCGAAGTCCGGAGTCAAGGGGATTACCATAAGGAGATAGACGCTGATTTAAGGTTTGGGCTTCGGATATGAGTATAGGTCAGATCCGGAGGTCTAGAGATATCAGATGAAGCGTCTGGATATCGGATGAGCGGATCCGGAGATCTAGGTGAATACGAGACTAGGATATGGATCATGGATATAGACCGGTAGTCTAGGGAAGGTAGAGTCCGAGATGGAATGAGCTTGGATCCGATAGGACTAAGGGTGGATGGAGCAGGCTTAGCTGCGGAGGTCCGAAGGTATTGATATATGGATGTACGAAGGTGTACGGATCCAAACCGATAGTGGACTGGAGGACTGAAGGCATGGATAAGGGTATGGAGTCATGGATAAGGGTATGGAGGTCCGGATGTGCATCCAGAAGGCATGGGAACATGATCGGACGAAGGTCCGAAATACGGGATATGACAATGTGGAATGGTTCACTGCTTTCCGTGAACTGGACTGCGATCATGGCTTGCACAAAGTCCCTCGCATAATTAAAAATGGAGAACGAATGGCCAGCATCATTCCAATCAACAACATTCATTGCAATTCCGCGTTTTGGCCCTATTGCTCCTCATGAATGGAGCTC